TGGTTAAATAAACAATTGGGTATTATTATTGAAAGTATCCTGAACAGAACCAGGGTTTTCCGATCGAAAAATATTGATTTTCAAGAATTCTATACCATTTATGCGAAAACTTTTATTTTTCCCATATAAAATACATGGAAAACTTTGAGCGACCTCTAAATACTTTTTGATTTCAAAATAAAAAAATAGGGGTGTACTTTTTTCGATATAGAACCGACTTTACTGTTTTTGGACCACCCTAGTGTACATACATACATGAATGCATTTACAACATTGTAGTGGCGCGAATGTAGATTTGGAAAATACCCAAAGTATAACAATACTAAATGTGATAGTAGGGGAGGCCACGATGCTAAATCGGGATTTACTCGAGCGTCATTTTGACCTACTGGATTTTGAAGATGATATGATGGGAAGAAAAAAAAGGTCATGTGATGTTTCTCTATCCAATGGTGGGTAGAGGATGTACAGGCTTCCAAAATTGTAAAAAAAAAAACAGTTACATGGATTTACTCGAGCACGTCAGATGTTGATAGTGAATAAATCAAACGTGTTTATCATGACGGAAATATGCTAATCTGCCGGTTTGCATGGTGGGGATGGGCGCACGGAAGGGTCCAAAATGGGGGACAAAAAAATTTACTCGAGCGCGTCAGATATTCACAAGGGATGTTAAATGGATCCGAATGAACCTCCCATTCAATAATCTGACGATTCAGATATGACGCAAGCTCGTGGCGTCTTCTTTTTATTTATTTATTTTATTTATTTATTTAGTCTACAGAAAAATGTTTTCTTACAGACAGTTGAGATAAAAAGAGTTAGAATATTTAAGTATGTGTGATACATTACAGAGTGAAATAATTATAAATATTAACTTGTAAAGATAACAATGATATTCAATAGCAATTTGGGTAGCTGGCGAGGCCTTGTCTCCAGTCTACTTTTGTGTGCGGCGGGCGGAAAGACCTAGTTTCCGCTCCGCCCTGTTCACAGGCCGTTGATCATGGTCGGAAAGGCCGAGCTTCCGATCCATGTTCCCGTAGTCGTTACTTTGTAAGTGAGGCAGGCGGAAAGTCCTAGTTTCCGCTCCACGCTATAGACGAACTGTTGGGCGAGGTCGGAAAGGCCGAGTTTCCGATCCCTGCTCCTATTGTCCTACGCGGTCGCGGAAATATACGAAGCCGTTACAATTGTACTAAGCAGTCATAGATATTGTGTAATTTTTTCGTTCACGGTTGCAGATATTAGTTTATTTAGTTAACTTGTTGAGCAATGTTTTCTTTATTACAAAAAGCGATTCAGATATGTCGATGCAATCATAATGCTTGTTAAAATCTTGGCATAAGCACCGAAAAGCATCATGCATTTCAAAGTTTGATTTACAAATACTCAACACAATAGGTTTAAAATGTCTCGTGGGTCTTGTAGGAATACAAAAATTTATCTCACTCAGTAAAAAGGGACTACTGACCATCCCGTTCATTAATTTAATTAAAAAAAAGAACACCAAGCATCTCTCTACGACTCTGAAGCGTCGGCAAATCTATAAGCTTCAGGCGATCCTTGTAGGGTGGGAGATTTTTAGACGAGTCCCAACATAAATTTTTGAGGGC